GCGCTGATGTCCAGACACTCGTCTTCCGCATCGATGGCAATGAGTTGAGACAATTGGCCGACAGGTGTGTCCACAAGTAAGACAACCCCGTCGTGAGTCAGGTTATTATCACTCAAACACTTCCAGAATATAAGTTATGTCTTACAGGGAATCATGGGATTAAGAAATGTGTGTCTAATTCAGTGTCATTATCTCATAATGTCTTAAGTAGTGATAAACACATGTATTGTATGATAAATGTATGCAAAAAAAAGTTTTCAAAAAAGTATTAATAAAGTGATTAAAAACTTACATTCAATTCGTGACCAGATTTACGGCTATTTATTACCAAGTATCGCAAACTTTGAGTTCAAAAAACACTTAACTTTTCGTGAAATGATAGCAAAAATTAAAAACTTTTTTATGTCTTAAAAATCAATACTAATATTAAGCACGCGAATAGTTAAGCAATAGTTTGTTTTATGACATATTGTCTTTGCAATTATTATGACAATTCAAACACACCGTTGAATTGCACACTAAAAACCACGCAAACACCATGAAAAATTGTACCAGTATCGATTTTTGAAAAATAAAAAGTCGTTTCCACTCGTATATTATAATATTAGCCGCTGCTGTATGTAAACGACTCGTGAATACAGTGAGTATTAATAGTCATAATCATTAGTGTGTTATAATAGACAGCAGTTTTCAATCGATAATTGATTTAATGCTTGACTTTTTCGGTGGTAATAATTAGCGTCAGTTTAAAAGGCATTCAAATGCATTGCACTCTGTTTTCAATGTGTTTTTTCCAGTGGGCGGTACAGTCGATGGCTAGGGTTTGTTCATTGATTACCGCTGAACTCAATGGCGGTAATGAACAGTGATTTTCAACGTTTGTTTTGATTATTAACATAAAGTTTTTCAAACACTTTTGGCTCCGGACTTGACATACGGTGTATACACCGGCATGTACTGTAAATCTCAGTATATTTAATGTATTACCTTGTATATACTTAGTTTTATTTGTTTGATAAGCTAATTGTGCTAGTTTATAGCTATATATAGCTATATATACCGGTGTTTAGCGTGTAGTAAATCGCGAGTCGTGTGTATTGATCAGCGTTTGTGAGACGTCTCTATGATATCTCTACGGCTAATGACTATTAGACTGACTGTTAGGACGTGAACAGGACTCCCAGTCATTGGAAATGTATTCAAAAAATTAGTTTTCAATGTTTTTGGTGACTGAAACACAAGAGAGAAAACTAAAAGACAGCAAAAAAGTTAATTATATTTTTGAGTTTTACTTCAAATAGACTTTTCTGTGAATAATATTTCCCTTTAAATAATGTATCGGTTTTTGGGATTTAAATTACAGTCCATTTGAAGTATATTTTTATATCTCTGTGTGTGTTATAAATGTATTGATTTTGTATCGAAAACTCATGTATTTATTCACATTTGGTTTCAATTATTAATTAATACCATAAATACTATTATATTAATATTAATATAATAAATAAGACATTAAGACTATTATTATTATTATCTATCATATAATTGCATAAATAGTTTGTTTTATTCAGTCAAACAGTCAATACAATACATCCAATCGATTGCCAAAAGTTTTTTTATTTATTATATAATTTTTACTGTCATTAAGACTAGTATTTATTAAATATTATTATTATATTGTATTAAATTTATACAAAATGTATGACATATTGAAAGTGAAATACGGTTTAGTAATATCCGGCATCTCTGCGGTGGTCATCATGTGTTGCAACCATTTGTTCAGATATTGTCCGCATTTCTATCCCCAGAATGTGCGACAGTCCACAGACACCTACAAGAGGTGGAAGTGGAGGAACTTCTTGATCTCATTCATCCACTCAAACATCACCGGATTTGGGTCTCTGTTCTGGTAAGCATTGCTAGTTTTGACCACTTTTTGCAAGATAATTATTAAACAAATTTTAAATTCTTGAATATTCTGTATATATTCTTGTGATAAGTATTACTAATAAATTATTAGTAATAATTATAGGCATATAATGTCTAATTTAGCGATATATAGTGTAGCTTTGCTATTATGTACAGGTAGACTATTCACTAGATATATAACTTTTAAAGAATATTCTGGAATCGTTAAGAATATTTTTAGCGTTACCTATTGAGTGACTTATTTCGCGTAAAATTAATGGCAATTTTGAATGTGTTTGGTGATTATTTTGATTAATTAGCATACATTTGCATAATAATGTATTTATGTAAATATGTATTTACCTTGCTCATACAGCTGCATATACCAGCCCTCACTTCTGGTCGAAGTGATCGACTCCTATCTGGAAGCCGCTTATATCCTCACCTCTATATCTCATGGTATGGCCCATACATTGAGCTTTTTAAATGGGTTCACAAATTATGCTAATTTTAAATATTTGTTATAATTTATAAAAGTCCTATATTTTTGACAATAAGTTTGAAAACTAAATTCTTACCTAAAGATATTAAATTGATTTTTGTTCAGGTTATTTTATATACGATTTGATCGAAATGTTAACTCATATGACATACAAGGGGTCCAAGGAATTGGTTGTGCACCACATTCTGGTAAATATTCTGTGCACTACCACTACTACCCCATAATCCCGGTGTTGGGGTGTAATTGATTGCGAAAATAATTAAATTTGTGTTTAAATCGTATTTTTGTAGATAATCTCGTGTTTCTCATTGACGGTCACTCAACACAAATACTGCGGCTATAGTAGTATCGCACTACTCATCGAATTGAGTAATATATTCCTCCACTTTCGACAACTGCTGCTAATCTCGAATACACCGAAAACGGCGAAACTCTATCGAATCAATTGCTATACAAATTTTGGTATGAAATCCTATTAACCAATAGTTTTAAGTGTTTTAATAATCAATGAATACCTCCGATGTCTATCCCTTTAGGGATGTTTATTGTGGTTCGGGGCGTATGCCTGATATGGCTGTGGGCGACCCTATTGTGGGTACTGCCGAGAGTGCCATTCGTTGCCAAAACCATAGCGTTTGTCTCGTTGATCGGCATCTGTACCATGACGTACGTGCTGTTTATCAGGGTATATAAGTCGGACTTTGGGAACACCGGTCAACAAACTGATGTATCAATTACTGAACAACTAGTCGGCGCCCAAACACCGCCGACAACTCCCGAACAAACCAATGGATTCACGGCTACCGCTAAGGATAATGCTATCCATTCAAAGCATTCCTAGTATTTCTTAATATAGTGATTAATTTGAGCATTAATTAGATCTCATTAGTTAAGTCCGTTTATAATTACCGGTAATGTATTCAGTATTATCTCACTATTTGATTACGAGATTGTTAAAGTATTACTATAATTAGTATTAATGATTTAGTCATCTATTTGTGATTAAATATGTGTGAAATTAATTTCGTTATTAAACTAACATTTGAAGCATTGAATACTCGGCTCAACTATACAGTACTCTAATTGAGAAATATTGTGATTTTTATCAAAATACACTTTCCATTAGTCGATATAGTAATTGAATTGTTTATTAACTTAAAAATTATTTATTTCTTATATATACTTTTCTTGTGTAAAAAACTGGTGTACAAAGTATTTTCTATATATTTTAGTAAACAATTTGAAAAGCACTTCTAATTTATGAAAATAAAAACAATTTATTGATTACTTTCTATTGTAAGAATTTTTACATTTAAACGGATATTCTGGTCGGAAATGTATGCCTCTTTTGTGGAGTATTTGTTGATAATGGACTTAAATTGTAATCACTATCAGCCTATAAATTGTTAACCGTTTGCCATTTGATGCCTAACGCGGGCACATCTGAGACCGACCCCCATCGACAGGCAGTGAAGCGCCAGTAGTAAACGACGAGTCATCACTGGCCAGGAATGCGATCGCTTTGGCCACTTCGATGGCCTCACCCACCCGTCCCATAGCGTGCGTGGTTTTGCTGTGCTCTAGGAACTACACCATTAAACAAGTCGTTAGTTATCTAGCAATTAATTATTGACAAGTTGTTTATCACTTTTTCATATTCTTGGTCACCCATTCCTCCACGTTTGTGAACATCTGTTACGATAACACCGGGACTGGTAAGTGATAAATGAAAATTAGATATTTTTTTAAAGAATGGTAAATATAATCATTGGACACATACTTGACAGCATTCACACGGACACCATCGGCCGCCAGTTCTAGAGCCGCAGTTCTTGTCAACTGATCCAACCCGGCTTTACTCAGATTATACGCCAGTACTCCCGGGAACTAATCGGGCAATCAATTGACAAATGAATATCGTATTAATTTAAAGACATTTCTTAATCTCAATATATAGCGTCTCAATAGGTGTTAACCACCGATGACTGCATAATAAGACAATCCACTCACAGCCCGGAGTCCTGTAACACTGGAAACGTTAACGATAGCGCCTTTGGTTCGCCTCAAGTGAGGGATCGACAGTTGAATCAAATGAAACACAGATCTGAGGTTAACGTTCATCAGCTCGTCGTAGGCCTGGAGTGTGGTATTCTCGGTGGTGCCTCGCGTTAGGATACCGGCGCTGTTCACCAATACGTCCAGCTTTCCAAACGCCTCGACAGTCTTATTCACCGCTGAGATGGTGTCCCCTTCTTTGGACAGGTCGGCCACTATTAGCGCCACTTTAACCGTATGTCCGGCGTCTGCGATCTGTTTCCTAATTGCCTCCAAATTAGCCAAATTTCTGCCGACGAGGGCTAAGTCGCTGCCCAGGGATGCGAAGTGCAGGGCAGTGGCCGCTCCGATGCCTGAGCTGGCGCCTGGAGTTATAGATAATGTCATGTATTAATCAGTGTAATCAATATTTATGATAAGAATTGTTTTGCAAAAAATAAGATTTTATTTTAATGTTAAGAAAAAGTTTGTGGACTTAGGTTTTCATTGATTCTTTTATTTACAACCGAAAAGTAAACTCTAAAATGGATTTTCAATATAAAAGAAATAATAAATTATTTAATATCCGACTCTTTACTAATGTATAAGTCTTTATGTATTGTAGGAATTATGGGTTTATGGCAAAAGTCAGGTCTCTCTCTCTCTCTCTCTATATATATATATATATATATATTTCTGAGAAAGATTTTTTTGCTCTCATTTCTACCCGAAATCAAAGTAAAGAATTATATAACTGAGCGTTGAGTGTAATTCTGTTTTATTGGAAAATTATTTACTCAAATACTTATTGCCAGTGTTGGAGTAAATTTGTCACAAAATGACATTTTGGTGCACAACTTTTTTTTTCATAAGCCATGCGATGGGTGTATGAAATAGATATAGAAGAGAGACGAGCGAAATATATTGCATTACTATTAACATATAAATGTCATGGATATCGATGGCAAACAAAAGTCCCAGTCGTCCACCAAAAAATATAATAAGTTTTTTCCTACGAGATAGACATAACTCATAGGAATATATAACACATAACATAAGCTCAAGAATTCTTATGTTTGCTTACAATTGAATACATTTGTGTCAAACAAAAAAGTTTCATAAATTATATGTATGTCTACGTCTAGTCAGTAAATTAAATACAGATTTTTTTGGTAATCATTAATTGAATTTATGATTAAATTGTCAGCGAAATGCAAACATAGAAACAAAAATGTGCAAATATATTTTTCAACTATTTATTCGCTCACATGTCATTTATTAACTTGTAATACAAATTCCTATACGATTCTCATATATTTTTATATTTCAAGTATCAAAATATATCCATTATATCCCAAAAACCTATTTCACGGTTTGAAAACTTGAGGAATTTTTCGTATGAAAAGTCATTTTATTTTTTTCAACTCAAATATATGCTATTATTTTTGGGGGAAAATCTGTTTCGAGTGCATATATATTGATTTATTTGACCAAAAATATGCAAATAAATCCCATAAAATATACTGTATGTGCAACAAAACTAGCTATAAATTCTAATCAATAGTGAAGTTTGTATTCAAATTGAAAAGTATTTCTCACATTTTAAAATGAGATATCTATTGATATAATACCTGTCTGTCTGTACAAGTCGGCAATAATTCCTATTGAATTGTAGTCAAATAGATTTTTACAAAAATAAATTCAATATAAGAATTGGGAATTCCTATTATTCAAACATTTTATATATTATACTGTATACAAGTTGTAAACAAAAATATATTAGAAATTTATAAACGATTAATTATAAAGTGTTTTGATTACTAGTAAATAAACTACTGATAGCATGTGATAGGAGTTAATAATAAATAGGATTTAATAGTAATTAATTGGTTTTTAAGATACTATATAATATAGCGTACACTGTACAGTATATTACTATTTATTGGCTCAATGTTATCAATTATTAATTATTAGGCGATTTTATTTGTTTTACTATTGCTATCTCCCGATCCCATCACCTCCTGTTCCCCACCAAAACAAAAAGGAAGGACATAATTAAACATCAAGGCTATGCCACAAGAACTTGATTTTAATCAGTAATAAAAATCTGAACGAAAAAAACTTGAAAAAGTGTTTTTACGTCAAACAAAAAGTTCAGTAAAAATAAGTCGATTGAAAAATGAGAGTATTTTTTTGTGTTTGCTTTTTATCATTGCCTGTAATGAAATTGCATTTTAAATTCAACTTTCAAGTCTAAATTTAACGTTTTTGTGATATTTTAAATGCTTAGAAATTTAATACGGTATATTAGCTAAATGCTAGTCAAACTCGTAATTAAGTAATAACCCGGATACTATAAATAACATGAGTTATAATAGCATTTTTTGCTAAATATAAAACTCAATTATATATTTTTTATAAGAAAATTCATTGCGAAATATAACAGTTAGTTATATTTTTGCGCAAAAAATAATACATTAATGAATCCTCGCGTACAGTGAAGTGCCCATAAAAATAGGCATAACTTGAGATCGTAAAGTAATATAAAACTTAATATTATATAACAAAGCAGTAAATCATGAATTTATTTCTAACTACACATACGATATATATTAATAACTTATTATATTTATATATGATATTTCATTTTGAACGACTTCAACCACAAGAATAACCATAAATTTGACTCAAAGGACTAAAAATACAGATTATGGTGAGTGATCATCAATATATTTATGAATAATAATGACTTGTCATCTAATTCT